AGGAATCGGTGCTCGGAGGCAAGCCCTCATCTGTGGAAATAAGGAATCGGTGCTCGGAGGCAAAGCCGTCATCTTGGGGAAAATAAGGGAAATCTGTCTCGGAAGGCAAGCCCTCATATGCGGAAATAACGGAAATCGGTGTCGGACGGCAAGCAATCATCTGTGGAAATAAGGAATCGAGTGCTCGGAGGAAGCTCATCTGTGAAATAAGGAATCGGTGCTCGGAGGCAAGCCCTCATCTGTGGAAATAAGGAATCGGTGCTCCGTGGAAATAAGGAATCGGTGCTCGGCGGCAAGCCCTTATCTGTGGAAAAAAGGAATCGGTGCTCGGAGGCAAGCCCTCATCTGTGGAAATAAGGAATCGGTGCTCGGAGGCAAGCCTTCATCTGTGGAAATAAGGAACCGGTTCTCGGAGGCAAGCCCTCATCTGTGGAAATAAGGAATCGGAGCTCGGAGGCAAGCCCTCAGTGTAAATAAGGAACCGGTGCTCGGAGGCAAGCCCTCATCTGTGGAGATAAGGAATCGGTGCTCGGAGGCAAGCCTTCATCTGCGGAAATAAGGAGTCGGTTCTCGGAGGCAAGCCCTCATCTGTGGACATAAGGAATCGGTGCTCGGAGGCAAGCCCTCATCTGTGGAAATCAGGAATCGGTGCTCGGAGGCAAGCCCTCATCTGTGGAAATAAGGAATCGGTGCTCGGAGGCAAGCCCTCATCTGTGGAAATAAGGAATCGGTGCTCGGAGGCAAGCCCTCATCTGTGGAAATAAGGAATCGGTGCTCGGAGGCAAGCCTTCATCTGTGGAAATAAGGAATCGGTGCTCGGAGGCAAGCCCTCATCTGTGGAAATAAGGAATCGGTGCTCGGAGGCAAGCCCTCATCTGTGGAAATAAGGAATCGGTGAGGCAGGGGCTCATCTGTGGAAATATGGAATCGGTGCTATCGGTGCTCGGAGGCAAGCCCTCATCTGTGGAAATAAGGAATCGGTGCTCGGAGGCAAGCCCGCGTCTGTGGAAATAAGGAATCGGTGCTCGGAGGCAAGCCTTCATCTGTGGAAATAAGGAATCGGTGCTCGGAGGCAAGCCCTCATCTGTGGAAATAATGAATCGGTGCTCGGAGGCAAGCCCTCATCTGTGGAAATAAGGAATCAGTGCTCGGAGGCAAGCCCCCATCTGTGGAAATAAGGAATCGGTGCTCGGAGGCAAGCCTTCATCTGAAATAAGGAATCGGTGCTCGGAGGCAAGCCCTCATCTGTGGAAATAAGGAATCGGTGCTCGGAGGCAAGCCCTCATCTGTGGAAATAAGGAATCGGTGCTCGGAGGCAAGCCCTCATCTGTGGAGATCAGGAATCGGTGCTCGGAGGCAAGCCCTCATCTGTGGAAATAAGGAATCGGTGCTCGGAGGCAAGCCCTCATCTGTGAGGAAATACGGAATCGGTGCTCGGATGCAAGCCCTCAGCTGTGGAAATAAGGAACATCTGTGGAAATAAGGAATCGGCGCTCTGAGGCAAGCCCTCATTTGTGGAAATAAGGAATCGGTGCTCGGAGGCAAGCCCTCATCTGTGGAAATAAGGAATCGGTGCTCGGAGGCAAGCCCTCATCTGTGGAAATAAGGAATCGGTGCTCGGAGGCAAGCCCTCATCTGTGGAAATAAGGATCGGTGCCGGAGGCAAGACCTTTCACTTGGGGAAATAAGGAATCGGTGCCGGAGGCAAGCCGCATTTGTGGAAAAATAAGGAAGCGGTGCTCGGAGGCAAGCCCTCATCTGTGGAAATAGAAATCGGGATGGAGGCAAGACCTCATCTGTGGAAGGCCCTATCTGTGGAAATAAGGGAAGCGGAATACTTGATTCTCAGTGCTCGAGGCAAAAGCCTCTCAGCTGTTGGAAAATAAGGACTCGGTTTGCCGGAGGCAAGCCTCATTGTGGAAATAAGGAATCGGTGCTCGATCTGTTGGAAAATAAGGAATCGGTGCGCGGAGGCAAGCCCTCAGCTGTGGAAATAAGGAATCGGTGCCTCGGAGGCAAGCCCGCGTCTGTGGAAATAAAGGAATCGGTGCTCGGAGGCAAGCCTCCATCGAAATAAAGAATCGGTGCTCGGAGGCAAGCCTTCATCTGTTGAAATAAGGAATCGGTGCTCGGAGGCAAGCCCTCATCTGTGGAAATAAGGAATCGGTGCTCGGAGGCAAGCCCTCATCTGTGGAAATAAGGAATCGGTGAGGCAGGGGCTCATCTGTGGAAATATGGAATCGGTGCTATCGGTGCTCGGAGGCAAGCCCTCATCTGTGGAAATAAGGCATCGGTGCTCGGAGGCAAGCCCTCATCTGTGGAAATAAGGGATCGGTGCTCGGAGGCAAGCCCTCATCTGTGGAAATAAGGAATCGTTGCTCGGAGGCAAGCCCTCATCTGTGGAAATAAGGAATCGGAGCTCGGAGGCAAGCCCGCATCTGTGGAAATAAGGAATCGGTGCTCGGAGGCAAGCCCTCATCTGTGGAAATAAGGAATCGGTGCTCGGAGGCAAGCCCTCATCTATGGAAATAAGGAATCGGTGCTCGGAGGCAAGCCCTCATCTGTGGAAATAAGGACTCGGTGCTGGCAAGCCCTCATCTGTGGAAATAAGGAATCGGTGCTCGGAGGCAAGCCCTCATCTGTGGAAATAAGGAATCGGTGCTCGGAGGTGTGGAAATAAGGAGTCGGTGCTCGGAGGCAAGCCTTCATCTGTGGAAATAAGGAATCGGTGCTCGGAGGCAAGCCCTCATCTGTGGAAATAAGGAACCGGTGCTCGGAGGCAAGCCCTCATCTGTGGAAATAAGGAATCGGTGCTCGGAGGCAAGCCCTCATGCTGTTGGAAATAAGGAATCGGTGCTCGGAGGCAAGCCCTCATCTGTGGAAATAAGGAATCGGTGCGGAGGCAAGCCCTCATCTGTGGGAATCGGTGCTCGGAGCAAGCCCTCATCTGTGGAAATAAGGAATCGGTGCTCGGAGGCAAGCCTTCATCTGTGGAAATAAGGAATCGGTGCTCGGAGGCAAGCCCTCATCTGTGGAAATAGGAATCGGTGCTCGGAGGCAAGCCCTCATCTGTGGAAAGAAGGAATCGGTGCTCGGAGGCAAGCCCTCATCTGTGGAAATAATCGGTGCTCGGAGGCAAGCCCTCATCTGTGGAAATAAGGAATCGGTGTTCGGATGCAAGCCCTCATCTGTGGAAATAAGGAATCGGTGCTCGGAGGCAAGCCCTCATCTGTGGAAATAAGGAATCGGTGCTCGGAGGCAAGCCTCATCTGTGGAAATAAGGAATCGGTGCTCGGAGGCAAGCCCTCATCTGTGGAAATAAGGAATCGGTGCTCGGAGGCAAGCCCTCATCTGTGGAAATAAGGAATCGGTGCTCGGAGGCAAGCCCTCATCTGTGGAAATAGAAATCGGTTCTCGGAGGCAAAGGAAATAAAATCGGTGCTCGCAGGCAAGCCCTCATCTGTGGAAATAAGGAATCGGAGCTCGGAGGCAAGCCCTCATCTGTGGAAATAAGGAATCGCTGCTATCGGTGCTCGGAGGCAAGCCCTCATCTGTGGAAATAAGGAATCGGTGCTATCGGTGCTCGGAGGCAAGCCCTCATCTGTGGAAATAAGGAATCGGTGCTCGGAGGCAAGCCCTCATCTGTGGAAATAAGGAATCGGTGCTCGGAGGCAAGCCCTCATCTATGGAAATAAGGAATCGGTGCTCGGAGGCAAGCCTTCATCTGTGGAAATAAGGAATCGGTGCTCGGAGGCAAGCCCTCATCTGCGGAAATAAGGAATCGGTGCTCGGAGGCAAGCCCTCATCTGTGGAAATAAGGAATCGGTTCTCGGAGGCAGGCCCTCATCTGTGGAAATAAGGAATCGGTGCTCGGAGGCAAGCCTTCATCTGTGGAAATAAGGAATCGGTGCTCGGAGGCAGGCCCTCATCTGTGGAAATGCTAAACTTCAAGTCGCTCTTTTTCCTTGAACCAGTAAAGGCGCTGTCGGTAAAACATGAGTCACAAATCCACACATGCTCATCAACCCTTTGGGTTGGTAGGTGGGGTTCCCAGGTAGTAGAAAAACTTTACACCCCGCCTTGATGTTGTGCGAACTGTAAGCTCAACATCACTCTACAGTAACGGGTTTGTAGAAACTGTACAGGTATGTCGTTGGGCTCATCTGGTATTGTGCGATGGCCTCGTTGTGCTCTCCCTATTGGAGTCCTTGCACTCGGTGAAAACTGTTCCCACTGCTTCCTCGTGGGTAACACTTCGCTCAGGTAAGCTTGAACTTGTTGTAGCTCACACTGTACGGAAAAGTGAAACGTTCCATCATTCACTCACATGGTCCCGGGCCTGCAATTGCCACAAGGACGGTAGTGCAATCTCGCATGCACTGCTGCACTGTAAGTGAATCTCTCTGACCTTTGCACATCTGCACATGTAGGTCGGTGGTACCTCTTGCCATGAGGCGTGTACACATAATGGGGTTGTGCTCGTAGCTGTTCGTCCACATCCTGTGCCATAGGAATGATATTAACCATTCCCCATTCTTGAAATCGCCTTGCAAGCTCTTCGTCATTCACATGGATTTGGCTTGCTGGTACTGTACTGATTCCAGGCATCCCATTACCACTGCCTGTCGCTGAATCCTCTGGTGCATCACGGAAATACATATTGACTGCCCTTGCTGTACGTTGAACATCATCCTCATCGGGCGGACAATACTTTTGCACAAATCTTCGAATAGTGAATTCCTCCTGCGGTTCCTGTGGTCCTTCTTCCTGCGGTTCCTGTGGTCCTTCTTCCTGCGGTTCCTGTGGTCCTTCTTCCTGTGGTTCCTGTGGTCCTTCTTCCTGTGGTTCCTGTGGTCCTTCTTCCTGTGGTTCCTGTGGTCCTTCTTCCTGTGGTTCCTGTCGTCCTTCGTTCACCTTCTGCTCGACCATGTAGAACAAGAGTAAAGCGAAAATTCCTCCTAGTAGCACACTGAAAAGAATAATCCATCCACTCACTTCCTTCACATAGATGAAAACAAATTCTCGTTCTTCTCGTTCTCGTCCTCCAAAATCGTCTGGCTGTCCTGCAATCTGAGAAATCATATTCACCATCATTGTCAAGTACATCGCTCTAGCCGTCTTGCTTCCTCGCTCACTCAACAAAGTTGCACGTAGTGCTCGAACTTGGCTTCGGCAAACTTCACCTGCCACATGTTCCATTGCTTCTTCTTTCCCATAACGCTCATGACTTTCTCCATTCCACACCATGGCTCCAATATGGTACATGAGAAATCTCCTTCGAGATACTCCTAAGCGTTTTGTATTCAAGTCGGCAATGTTTAATTTGGTAGGCACTGGCTTTGCTTTGAAGCTGTTGTTCTTCACCCCTCGCTGAAGCCATAATACTCTCAGATCGATATGTTTGAGTCCTCCGACTCCTGTTCGCATCATCCATTGTCTTCCCGCACTTGAATCCATCCGGATCTCCACGAGTAACTTTCCTGCAAGAAACATCCACAACTTCTTCAGTAACATCGCTTCTGATGCTCCTCCTGAGCATGCTAGCACTTCGGACTCTGCCGAACTTAAAGCTGTAGCTTTCTGGGTCCTGCTATACGAAAGTACTGGCACTGCATTCACACACACAATCACTGATGATGTAGACCATCTCGCTTCACGGTCTGATGCCCAATCTGCATCCGTGAATACTTCCATACTGTGTGTTCCTTTCTTTTCTTCGTCTTCTTCTTCTTGCTCTTCTCTTTGATAGATCGCATCCATCATCTTGTTTCCAACCTTTGTGTACTTCAGTAGGAATCCCAGTTGCTCTGTTCCTTGCACATAGAGCAAAGCTTGTTTCAAACAGGTTAACGCTTGTTCCGTTGGCTTCGACATCTTACTTGCCAAACACTTCGTCACATGCTGTAAATCCCATCGGTCTTGGGAAATGTACAACAGTGTTCCCAACGCTGAACGAAACTTCTTGCACTCGTTCTCATCCAGTTCTTTGGAATTGTCCACTGTTCCAATCAGCTGGTGCTCTGGGGTTTGTCTTGGCTTTCGGTTCCCCAGCTTGTAGAGTCCTTTAAGCTTCTCGTAGTGCTTCTTCGACACTGTCACCAAAATTCCTTCTTCAAGGAACTCATAGGTCCTCTTCAGGTAATGAAGCTGTTCTCCCGATCCCCGGTGGGATGGGAACGGTCCCTCAACTGTGAGCTTGAAAAACTTCTCTAGCTCGCATATCAGCCATCTTCCTTCGCCTTTTGCACCTGCAACTAGCTCGTCGTCGACATGAATCGACACTGCAATCTTCTTCACTTGGTGCTTCAAGATTGAGGGTATCCCAACAAATTGCTCAAATCCCAAACGCTTCAAAATCTCAACCAAATGGGTAAACCATTGTTCTGCCGCTGATCTTTGCCCTGGCAGACACTTCTCCACTTTCCATACATGGTCTTCATCCAAACCAAGTAGTGTTCGAATCCACGGTGAGATATCAGCATACATCAGAGCTTTCTGCTTGACTTGCAAGAATGCGTCACGAATGTCAAGAACTGTAAGCTCCCAATTGTAGATGAGATGAAAAAGAAACATCATTCGCACTGCTGCGTGTCCTGACGTAGGACTAAAAGTCTCCTCCGTGCTCTGGGCTCCCGCACGGAATTCCCGACACACAATTCTGCATCTACGCTTCCAAACTCCATCTCTCTTTCTCCAATCGAAAACTGTCCTTAGTGTCAGAAACTTACCTTCCTCTGAACACTCTTCCTTCTTGATCGTCTTCACAACCTTCATGTTGGCGAGTTTGTCAAGTTCAGCTTTTCCTGCCTCTGCATCCAATCTTTCAAGTTCCTCTTCGCTGACTTTCGGTGGTCGATCCTCATCTTCTTCTTCTCCTTCACTATCCGCTTCATATTCCTCTTCGCATTCCTTCCAGACTCTTTCTTCCCAAAGGTCATCTTCATGATATCCTGTTTCGTCTTCCTGTTCTTCTACCTGTCCGGCGTACAACGGTGGAAATAGACTTCCTTTCGGACTTCCAGGATCAGCACTTGTAGGTGAACTTTCCGCAGTCTTTTGTTGCTTCGTTGGTGGCTCCTCAGCATCTGCTGTTTTACTAGCTTTCGCAGGTTCCTCTCTTCCTTCTCCTTCAGTTTCTCTCTTTTGTCCCCCGCCTTGGTTGGAATCCGTTGATGAACTTCGAGGTGTAGGTTGACCACTGCTCAGCAATAGATCACTGATTGTGTCATGCTTTGAACTTTCCACATCAGATCCTGCTTCATCTCCTGCTGGCTCTGGCTCATTTTCTCCTCCTTCTTTCTCTTTGCCTGGTTCTTCCATGATTCTCGGTAACGGTGCCGCATGCGCGGTGTGCCCTAGCCTTGGGGCTTTCTTCGTCCAAGGAGAACCCTGAAGTTGAAGGGTCTCACGTGCGCGCCACGCTGGTTGTGTGCGCCGCACAGATCTTGACGTAAAGATCCCATCTTTTGATGTAATCACGTCCATGTCCCGGTCGTCCTTTCCAACCCATATTCCTCCTGTCCACAAGGATCGATTCTTCACTCCTCCAGGCTTGGCCAGACCAAACACATACTCTCCGAAGGGTAAAATCTGCCCTTGGTATGGTCTCCCGTAGACCAATTGGAAAGCTGTACTCTGCGTCCCTGAGTGTAGGTGGTACCTGTTGAACAACCATGCTGCGTGGTGAATTGCCCACGCTCGTAAAGCATGATCTTCAGGAATCTTTTCCCCAATCCGATCCTCGACCATTTCAATCATCGTGAGGCTTTGTCTCCTGAGGTTCTGAATGTGGCGTTCCACTCTCGCTGTTCTTCCTTTGTGGTAGGGCTTGTTTGGATACTTTCCAGCCTTGTAGCCTAACTTTTGTCGTATTGCTACAATCAAATCCAGTAAGGCTGTTGTCGCTGGCTCCACATCAATCGCAAACAGAACTTCTTCGGAAATGTAGTTCATCTCGAGAGAAAACTTCACCACTTTCTCGGCCAACTTCTTCGTCGGTGCTTTCCCCGGCACTGGAATCGCCCACGAAAATCGAGTCCATGAATCAAGAATGATCAGACTCACACTGCTCTGACCCATGTACATGAAGTCCATCTGGATCACTGGCTTTCCTGGGTCTTCATACTTTGCTTCACTGCTTTATGGGGAATGGTCCTGTTTCGACTTTGCTGCTGCACAGAAATCACACCATGGTTGCATTGGCATGTGGGTTGCCACATGCTCTTCAATCTCTGCTTCTGTCGGTTCGGGCACTCCGGGTCTTGTTCTTGCTTTGGGCCTTTGCTTCCTCAGCCTGTCTGCAACTTCTTCTGCGTCCTCATCTCTGTCTTCGGTGAGGTAGTTGCACAGTCTCCTGAACATCTTCACCTTTGACCCTGAGACGCTCAAACCCAAATACCGACAACCTTCTCGCAGCTTCTCAATCTCACTCGTTGCTGTGAGTGACTCTCCATTCACCACAATAGTACTTCCCATGTCGAGTTCCAACTCTTGGTGTCCTCCTGCCTTTCCTTGCTGCTTCACACTCCTTTCGGCACTGGCACCTGCAACTCTTCTGGAGCTCCTCTTTCTCTTCCAAACCATTCTGGCTCCTCTTCCATCTTCTTTTCTTCCTCCTTTGGTGCTTCTTCTGGTGCTACCTCTTCTACCAAGCACTTGTCCAGATACTCTGGTGTCCTGTGCAAGAATGTGAGAATTTCTGATCGAAAAAGCAATCCCGGTATTCGATCTTCCAAGTCGGATTTTCGCTCGAGCAATTCCGTTGCTTCAATCACTTCCCATTCGTTGCCCACCTTCACGATGGTGGTCCTGTACTTCCAAGTACCTGTCGGTGGCTTTACAAACTCAAGTCCAAAATGGCGATGGACTGGCGTTCCATTCGGTAGAAGGCTCCAATCCTTCTCTGGGACTTTACCAAAGTCATAGGCCAAAGTCACCTTGACTGCCCTGACTTGCTCGACTCCTCTAACTTCCGCTGTCAATCTCAAGCTATTCCTCTGGTATTCCACAGGCACCCGTGCCTTACCATCGGGAGATACAAGTTCCCCCGCCTGGGTTTCTTCCCAGGTCTCGCCCCCTTGGCGCTGTTTGCATCCCACTGACACAAACTTCCATCCATTTTTGAGTAGCCTTCCTAAAGACAGCAAGATGTTATTGGTGTCCGACAACACAAAGTCCTCAGTCACACTGCAGCTACTGAACTGCAAAACTGCTCGCCGCATACCTTCAACTCGCATCGCACCCCCTTGTGCGTCTTGCAACCTCAGAGAGGTTGGGGTCGAAACTTCGACGCCTGCATCCGACAATCTTCGTGGTAACAAACTCACATCTGCTCCTGAATCCAAGATCACCACATGTTGCTTTGTGTCCAACTGGACCATTCGCACATTGAGAGGTTCCGATCCTCCCTGACTCAGAGGTTCCAATCCTCCTTGATTCAGAGGTTCCAATCCTCCTGGAGGTCCCAATCCTCCTTGAACTCTTTCCAAGCTGTTTTCATACCATTGATACAGCTCATCACTCTCATGATCTTGTTTGTTCTCACTCTCATCCCCGATGTAGTAGCACTCTGGTCCTTGCACCTCTATCCTTCTGGTGAACCAATCACCTTCTTCTTCTGAAACTTCGCTAAGCTCATAGTGCTCTGTGCCGTCAGGTGGTGTGTTCGCAATGTGATGGAAATCAATGTTCCTCACTCTCCTTATCCTGTATTGGCTCGCACTCTGCGACGGAGTAACAGACTCGACTGTCGAGTGGGGTACCTCGGTGCTGGCCTCGCTCGCCTGCACTTCTCGAACATTGCGGTTTGGACACTCGTTTCCCCAATGTCCTCGCTGCTTGCAGAATCGGCAAACATCTCTGTCCAACTTCTTTCCTCCACCTTTCTTTCCTCCTTTGCCATGCTTTCCACCTTTCTTTCCGCCTTTCTTTCCTCCTTTGTGGAAACCTTTGCCTCGTCCTTTCTTTCCTCCTTTGTAGCTTCCTTTTCGTCCACCTTTTCTCCATTGGCGAAATCCTGCTCCAAAGCTTGACCACGAGTAGGATCCTTTTCCTCCTTTGTTTCCTTTGTTGCCTTTGTTTCCTTTTCCTCCTCCTTTCTCGTACACTGCATCCACTTCCATTGGTGCTGGTCCTTGATCTGCATTCGAACTGCTCGCTGTGTTCTGCAAGGTCTTTTGCTTCAACACCGTCTGGTAATCCCAAGTTTTGCTGCTTTGCTCGTATGAAAGAATCGCTTGCTTCACTGACATGTAGTTTGTTCCTTCGGGCATTGTCAAAGTAAGGTGGTCTCGAATCGCCCTCGGTGAACATCGAAGCAAAACTCCCATCAACAAATCTCGATCGTAGGTCTTTCCTGAAGCGATCTCGTACTCCCGAACAAGGTTTTCCAGTGAACCAATCTGCTCCACCATGCTCTTGCCCCCATCGAAGTTGGGAAACATCCCAATCGCTTGACTGAGGGTTAGAGCTCGTTGTTTGGTGGCTGGTTGGTATTCCCAAAGCAAACTTTGATAGAGACGATACCCACATCGCTCCCTGCTCCAATTTCGAGACAGTTGCGTTGCTGCTCCCCGCATATACGAAGTCAGTATGTGGTAAAGCTTTGTCGAAAGTTCTCTCTCCACTGTAGTGAGAGTCGAAACATCGATCGGCGTTGCTCCCAGACTTTCAATCATACTTAGAGCTTCTGAGTACTGCGAATCGGCAAAACCTAGCCAATTCAGAAACTGATGTTTCCAGGTTGTAAAATCCGGTGGATGCTCTCCCGAGGCTTGTGGGTTCCAAACATCTGGTGCCTTGATCGCCTTTGTCGCACTTTCAATCCTTCGGTTCAGATCATCCGAACTGCTTGCTTGTTGCTCCAACCTTTGTAGCGCACTCATTCCAACTTGGGTCGCCCTTGTCAATGCAGTCAGAATTTCAGAAAGTTCTGTGGGTTGTTGGGGTGGTCCATTCTGCTGCATCCCTTGCACTGCAGAAAACTGTAACACGACAAGCACACACAGCATCGCTCCTCTCTGTTGTTTTCTCACACAAGCACACGAACGCAAGTGATCTCTCCGTGCCCCTCTGCTCAAGCGCCTCCGAAAACATGAATGTTGCAATCTCCACAAACATGACTGACGACATGACTGCAAGTGCACTGTCGCTTGCAAACATCCAATGCACAACATGATCGCACCTGATACTCCAAGCATAAGCATCATTGCCATTGCTCCATTGTAATCGAATTGCATAGTCTTGGGGTCGTAGAGGTTCTTTGCTCCTGGAATGCTGGTCCAAATCCACATCACCAATGGATCTCTTGTTCCATTCATAGTCTTGTCGGAGTAGAGGCTCTTGTTTGTACATAGGCCATAGAATTTTGATTCCTCCTGGTAGTCGATCTCTGTTTTCTCCTCCTGGTAGTCGATCTCTGCTTTCTCCTTCTGGTAGTCTGGTAGTCGATCTCTGCTTTCTCCTTCTGGTAGTCGACCTCATCGTCCTGACCAATCTCCCCATTCATCTTCCTCATTTCCAGGGTTTGGCTCCTCGCCCCTTTCTCGCATTCTTCTCCTTTCTGTTCTCCTCCAAGGAGAATTCGGGTAGAGCGTAGTGGCTTGCGTTGCTCCCACTCGCTTCGGTGGTGGTCCCTTTGGCTCTGGAGGTGGCGCCTTGCTTCCAGCAGGTCGTTCCTTCGGAGGTGGTCCTCTGGAACTGCTCCCTGGCTCATTTCTCGCATCTTCCATCCTGGGTTGTAGGGTCCCAGGTCCCGTCCTGGGTTGTAGGGTCCCAGGCCCCGTGTCTCGGCTGGAACTCGCTGTTCCACTGCTTTGGCTTCGCTGGCCGTACCTGGCTCGAAAGTATGCAACTCCACGAGCAAATTCCTTGGATTCCCTGGCTCTTGCTTCGTCTCCTGAAGGAATTGCACCGGCACGTCTTGCAGCATACTCTTCCTCATTCCGGCGGATGTGTTCCGCCACTGCTGCGTTGCTGGGTTCCCCGTCCAGCGTGTGAAGAGGAAGCTTCGTACCACTCGGCATTGGGTCCGGAGGTGGACACTCTGGAGCTCGTTCTTCTCCTGGCGGTGGACACTCTGGAGCTTGCTCTGGTTCTGGGCCCGCTGGTGGCGGTGGCCCTCCTGACTTTGGAAACCGAACTGGTTCCTGCAAGGCTCGTTCCCTTGCTCGCCGTTGGATCCTTTCCGTCTCTGCTGCGAGTGCAGAGAGTCTCTCCAGCTGCCTTCGCCTGCGTTGCTCAGCAGACACTTGCTGCTCTTGCAGCTCCAAGGCGATGTGCCCAGACGAAAGTGTTCTCGGCTCCCTTCTTGGTGTAGGTGGTGCCTCTTGGTACACCATTGTAGTTTCGGGGCTAGAGGAACTAGGACTCCCGATCTCCACTGGCCCGTCTGGTTCTCCCCCTTCCAAGGGAATGTAATCTCTTCCTTCCACCACTGGTCGTTCGGGCTTCTTCTTCGGCTTTGGAGGCATATACCTTGGTGCACTTCCACTTCCTTCAGCTGAACTGCTTGCTGAAGATCCGTAGCCTTTTCCCATGCCAACACGGTGAATCTTGATCTCCTTTCTTCGTGGCTCCATTTCTTCTTCTTGTTCCCCTTCTTCCATGGGCTCTGCGGGTTCCATCGGCTCCATGGGTTCTGTGAGTTCCATTGGCTCCATGGGTTCTGTGAGTTCCATGGGCTCTGTAGGTTCTGTGAGCTCCATTGGCTCCACAGCATCAGGGTTCCAACCCAAACCATCATCACGGCCACGAGGCATGGCTTCGGTCCCGGATGCACAGTGTGCTCCGCTACCATGCTAAACTTCAAGTCGCTCTTTTTCCTTGAACCGGTAAAAGGCGCTGTCGGTAAAACATGAGTCACAAATCCACACATGCTCATCAACCCTTTGGGTTGGTAGGTGGGGTTCCCAGGTAGTAGAAAAACTTTACAGGAAATAAGGAATCGGTGCTCGGAGGCAAGCCCTCATCTGTGGAAATAAGGAATCGGTGCTCGGAGGCAAGCCTTCATCTGTGGAAATAAGGAATCGGTGCTCGGAGGCAAGCCCTCATCTGTGGAAATAAGGAATCGGTGCTCGGAGGCAAGCGCTCATCTGTGGAAATAAGGAATCCTGTGCTCGGAGGCAGGCCCTCATCTGTGGAAATAAGGAATCGGTGCTCGGAGGCAAGCCCTCATCTGTGGAAATAAAGGAATCGGTGCTCGGAGACAAGCCCTCGTCTGTGGAAATAAGGAACCGGTGGTCGGAGGCAAGCCCTCATCTGTGGAAACAAGGAACCGCTGCTCGGAGGCAAGCCCTCATCTGTGGAAATAAGGAACTCTGTGGAAATAAGGAATCGGTGCTCGGAGGCAAGCCTTCATCTGTGGAAATAAGGAATCGGTGCTCGGAGGCAAGCCCTCATCTGTGGAAATAAGGAATCGGTGCTCGCAGGCAGCCCTCATTTGTTTAAATAAGGAATCGGTGCTCGGAGGCAAGCCCTCATCTGGAATCGGTGCTCGGAGGCAAGCCCTCATCTGTGGAAATAAGGAATCGGTGCTATCGGTGCTCGGAGGCAAGCCCTCATCTGTGTAAATGAGGAATCGGTGCTCGGAGGCAAGCCCTCATCTGTGGAAATAAGGAATCGGTGCTCGGAGGCAAGCTGTCATCTGTGGAAATAAGGAATCGGTGCTCGGAGGCAAGCCCTCATCTGTGGAAACAAGGAATCGGTGCTCGGAGGCAAGCCCTCATCTGTGGAAATAAGGAATCGGTGCTCGGAGGCAAGCCCTCATCTGTGGAAATAAAGGAATCGCTGCTCGGAGACAAGCCCTCATCTGTGGAAATAAGGAATCGGTGCTCGGTGGAAATAAGGAATCGGTGCTCGGAGGCAAGCCCTCATCTGTGGAAATAAGGAATCGGTGCTCGGAGGCAAGCCCTCACCTGTGGAAATAAGGAATCGGCGCTCGGAGGCAAGCCCTTATCTGTGGAACTCTTCTGTGGAAATAAGGAATCGGTGCTCGGAGGCAAGCCCTCATCTGTGGAAATAAGGAATCGGTGCTCGGAGGCAAGCCCTCATCTGTGGAAATAAGGAATAAGGAATCGGTGCTCGGAGGCAAGCCCTCATCCGGTGCTCGGAGGCAAGCCCTCATTTGTGGAAATAAGGAATCGGTGCTCGGAGGCAAGCCCTCATCTGTGGAAATAAGGAATCGGTGCTCGGAGGCAAGCCCTCATCTGTGGAAATAAGGCATCGGTGCTCGGAGGCCCTCATCTGTGGAAATAAGGAATCGGTGCTCGGAGGCAAGCCCTCATCTGTGGAAACAACGAATCGGTGCTCGGAGGCAAGCCCTCATCTGTGGAAATAAGGAATCAGTGCTCGGAGGCAAGCCCTCATTTGTGGAAATAAGGAATCGGTGCTCGGAGGCAAGCCTTCATCTGTGGAAATCAGGAATCGGTGCTCGGAGGCAAGCCCTCATCTGTGGAAATAAGGCATCGGTGCTCGGAGGCCCTCGTCTGTGGAAATAAGGAATCGGTGCTCGGAGGCAAGCCCTCATCTGTGGAAATAAGGAACCTGTGCTCGGAGGCAAGCCCTCATCTGTGGAAATAAGGAATCGGTGCTCGGAGGCAAGCCCTCATCTGTGGAAATAAGGAACCGGTGCTCGAAGGCAAGCCCTCGTCTGTGGAAATAATGAATCGGTGCTCGGAGAAATAAGGAATCGGTGCTCGGAGGCAAGCCCTCATCTGTGGAAATAAGGAATCAGTGTTCGGAAGCAAGCCCTCATCTGTGGAAATAAGGAATCGGTGCTCGGAGATAAGGAATCGGTGCTCGGAGGCAAGCCCTCATCTAAGGAAATAAGGAATCGGTGCTCGGAGGCAAGCCCTGCTCGGAGACAAGCCCTCATCTGTGGAAATAAGGAGTCGGTGCTCGGAGGCAAGCCCTCATCTGTGGAAATAAGGAATCGGTGCTCGGAAGCAAGCCCTCATTTGTGGAAATAAGGAATCTGTCAAGAATAAGGAATCGGTGCTCGGAGGCAAGCCCTCATCTGTGGAAATAAGGAATCGGTGCTCGGAGGCGGCGAGCCCTCATCTGTGGAAATAAGGAATCGGTGCTCGGAGGCAAGCCCTCATCTGTGGAAATAAGGAATCGGTGCTCGGAGGCAAGCCCTGCTCGGAGGCAAGCCCTCATCTGTGGAAATAAGGAATCGGTGCTCGGAGGCAAGCCCTCATCTGTGGAAATAAGGAATCGGTGCTCGGAGGCAAGCCCTCATCTGTGGAAATAAGGAATCGGTGCTCGGAGGCAAGCCCTCATCTGTCAAGAATAAGGAATTGGTGCTCGGAGGCAAGCCCTCATCTGTGGAAATGAGGAATAGGTGCTCTCATCTGTGGAAATAAGGAATCGGTGCTCGGAGGCAAGCCCTCATCTGTTGAAATAAGGAATCGGTGCTCGGAGGCAAGCCCTCATCTGTGGACATAAGGAATTGGAGCTCGGAGGCAAGCCTTCATCTGTGGAAATAAGGAATCGGTGCTCGGAGGCAAGCCCTCATCTGTGGAAATGAGGAATCGGTGCTCGGAGGCAAGCCCTCATCTGTGGAAATAAGGAATCGGTGCTCGGACGCAACAAGCCCTCATCTGTGGAAATAAGGAATCGGTGCTCGGAGGCGGCGAGCCCTCATCTGTGAAAATAAGGCATCGGTGCTCGGAGGCAAGCCCTTGTCTGTGGAAATAAGGAATCGGTGCTCGGAGGCAAGCCCTCATCTGTGGAAAAGGAATCGGTGCTCGGAGGCAAGCCCTCATCTGTGGAAATAAGGAATCGGTGCTTGGAGGCAAGCCCTCATCTGTGGAAATAAGGAATCGGTGCTCGGAGGCAAGCCCTCATCTGTGTAAATAAGGAATCGGTGCTCGGAGGCAAGCCCTCATCTGGGGAAAATAAGGAATCGGTGCTCGGAGGCAAGCCCTCATCTGTGGAAATAAGGAATAGGTGCTCGGAGGCAAGCCCTCATCTGTGGAAATAAGGAATCGGTGCTCGGAGGCAAGCCCTCATCTGTGGAAATAAGGAATCGGTGCTCGGAGGCAAGCCCTCACGGGAATACGGAATCGGTGCTCGGAGGCAAGCCCTTATCTGTGGAAATAAGGAATCGGTGCTCGGAGGCAAGCCCTCATCTGTGGAAATAATGAATCGGTGCTCGGAGGCAAGCCTTCATCTGTGGAAATAAGGAATCGGTGCTCGGAGGCAAGCCCTCATCTGTGGAAATAAGGGATCGGTGCTCGGAGGCAAGCCCTCATCTGTGGAAATAAGGAATCGGTGCTCGGAGACAAGCCCTCATCTGTGGAAATAAGGAATCGGCGCTCGGAGGCAAGCCTTCATCTGTGGAAATAAGGAATCGGTGCTCGGAGGCAAGCCCTCATCTGTGGAAATAAGGACTCGGTGCTCGGAGGCAAGCCCGCATCTGTGCAAATGCGGAATCGGTGCTCGGATGCAAGCCCTCATCTGTGGAAATAAGGAATCGGTGCTCGGAGGCAAGCCCTCATCTGTGGAAACTCGGAGGCAAGCCCTCATCTGTGGAAATAAGGAATCGGTGCTCGGAGGCAAGCCCTCATCTATGGAAATACGGAATCGGTGCTCGGAGGCAAGCCCTCATCTGTGGAAATAAGGAATCGGTGCTCGGAGGCAAGCCCTCGTCTGTGGAAATAAGGAATCGGTGCTCGGAGGCAAGCCCTCATCTGTGGAAATAAGGAATCGGTGCTCGGAGGCAAGCCCTCGTCTGTGGAAATAAGAAATCGGTGCTTGGAGGCAAGCCCTCATCTGTGGAAATAAGGAATGGGTGCTCGGAGGCAAGCCCTCATCTGTGGAAATAAGGAATCGGTGCTCGGAGGCAAGCCCTCATCTGTGGAAATAAGGAATCGGTGCTCGGAGGCAAGCCTTCATCTGTGGAAATCAGGAATCGGTGCTCCGAGGCAAGCCCTCATCTGTGGAAATAAGGAATCGGTGCTCGGAGGCAAGCCCTCATCTGTGGAAATAAGGAATCGGTGCTCGGAGGCAAGCCCTCATCTGTGGAAATAAGGAATCGGTGCTCGGAGGCAAGCCCTCGTCTGTGGAAATAAGGAATCACTGCTCGGAGGCAAGCCCTCATCTGTGGAAATAAGGAATCGGTGCTCGGAGGCAAGCCCTCATTCTTATAGTTGGCCCCCCCCCCGTTCTGTGGAATAAGGAATCGGTGCCGGAGGCAAGCCCTCATCTGGGAAATTAAGGAATCGGTGCTCGGAGGGCAAGCCTCATCTGTGGGAAATAGGAATCGTGCTCGGACGGCAGCTCTCACCTGTGGAATAAGGAAATCGGTGCTCGGAGGCAAGCCCTCATCTGTGGAAATAAGGAATCGGTGCTCGGAGGCAAGCCCTCATCTGTGGAAATAAGGAATCGGTGCTCGGAGGCAAGCTCTCATCTGTGGATATACGGAATCGGTGCTCGGAGGCAAGCCCTCATCTGTGGAAATAAGGAATCGGTGCGCGGAGGCAAGCCCTCATCTGTGGAAATGAGGAATAGGTGCTCGGAGGCAGCCCTCATCTGTGGAAATAAGGAATCGGTGCTCGGAGGCAAGCCTTCATCTGTGGAAATAAGGAATCAGCCCTCACCTGTGGAAATAAGGAATCGGTGCTCGGAGGCAAGCCCTCATCTGTGGAAATAAGGAATCGGTGCTCGGATGCAAGCCTTCATCTGTGGAAATAAGGAATCGATGCTCGGAGGCAAGCCCTCATCTGTGGAAATAAGGAACCGGTGCTCGGAGGCAAGC